TTAATTGTGTTTTTTTATTTTTTATTTTGTTCTAATTAGTCATACAAGACAGAACACATTTTGACACATTGTACACAAATGGACTGTGTTTTATTAAGCATTATAAAGTACACATTAAGATTTTATAGTTAATCATTTTACTTTAGGATAAGCCTATCTATGTGGAGATTTTTTTCCTCCAGAAACTCAGATGCTTTTCCTTAGAATTATTTTGTATACATGCAAATTTATTCCTTGTAGAATTTGAAAGTGACCAGAGATTTTGCAAAGCAAAATGTTTCAGTGGTACATACCAGTATAACACAGGAAGACTTTAACATGTGTTCACTCAAACTTGATGAGGAACAGGACACTTAAACAGTTAGCTCGGTGTCTCATTAAGTCTTTTAAATTATCTTTAACAAATTTCAAAGGTAGCTTGTATTCCCAATCCCACCAGTCCCTCTTCATCTCTGAGTCCTGCCCTCTTCTGACTTCACTCCACTTTCAGGAAAGCCCCATCCTGGTGGTAGCAAGATGGCTGCCAACAATCAAAAACTACCTTTTTATTCCAAGGCCAATAGAAAAGTAATCACACCCCTTCCTGGGTTGCTAAGATTGCCATAACCAAGGGAAGGAGAATAGATCCAGATAAGCAGAACAGCAAGGGTCCACCACAGATGCCTCATCAGGAAATCTCATAAGCCTATGTAAAGGCAGAAAAGTCCACAGGTTTCCATGTAAGTCCACTTCCAATGTTGCCAGTTCAAAGGACTCACCATTCTCCAAACTAAGTCTATAACTTCTCACCTCCAGGTCCCAGTTTGCTCTCATATTGTGACCCCTCCTGCTTGTCATAATCTTTTCCATGAAAAGGTAGGTCACAGATGGCTAATAAACATTTTTCTTTCATTTGGAAAATAACTTATTAACATTCATTCATGCAGGCTTGTGTTCTTCTTAAATCATTTATGAGTCTACTGAACCACATTATTTATAAAATACAATAATGAGATGCCTTCTTTCTGTCAAATTTACTAGAACTTTTGATGCTTACTCTATGAAAAAAAGAAGCATTTCAAATAATTAAGTACAGTCATGTGCTGCATAATGACATTTCATTAAACAACAAACTACATATGCAACAGAGGTCCCATAGGATTTTTAGGATACAAGTGCATCCTCAGGTAATAAGCAATTTGAGAATGTCCCTTATATATATTCCAACAGGTAGATCCCTATTTTCTCTTCAAAGACTTTTTAAGAGAGTTTTTATTGGTTATTATTTTTCTTAATGTATGAGCAGGCAAAAACAGGAAACAAAACATCCAGATTGTATTCTGTTCATCCATATGAGAAAAAGATTAATATCCTTAAAAAGGAGAGTTTATGAACCACTAAGGAAAGGGAAATGCTATTTAAAATATAGGCACATAATTTAAATAGATAATGTATTTTAAAAGAAACGTGGTTAGAAACATGGAGAAAATATATTAGTGCTCAAAGGCATGTAAAATTAAAACAATTTTTTTTAAGATAGCACTACTTTTTTTCTCTCGAAAAAAAAATCATCCCAAAACAAGGAAGCTAAAAGAAACAAAATCCATATTTAGGGAAACTAGAAAACATGCATAATTTTAAAGCCAAAGAAATCAGAAAGTGAATGGAGGAAAAACAAAGAGAAAGAGGATCAAAGCAAAAAGAGAAAATAAAAGTAATTCTACTCACTGTTTAGCCAATAGAACCTAGGAATTTGTAGGTCCCAGCAAAGGTACACTGGCAAATATTTAACAACACATTATCAGAAAAAACTCTGTGTGTGTGTGTGTGTGTGTGTGTGTGTGTGTGAGAGAGAGAGAGAGAGAGAGAGAGAGAGAGAGATGTATGTATACATAGGTGTAATAAATGTTACTGCTGTAAGAATGTATAGCGATTATTATCAAATAACAATAAAATAAGCAACATTCTTTGTTGAAAATTCCATATACCCAATTCTTATATCTGGTAGCTAATCTGTGGTTGCAACTAATAAATGAGTGTAGCTCCAACCTGAATGCTGATTGATATTTTCATTTATATTAACAAGTGAACAAATATGAGATAATAAAAATATATATCAAAACTTCACTCATTTGTCAGTAATATGTGCTCTGGGATAATAACTATCAGATGTAAATATTTTTGCCAAATTCTTGCCCAATTTTTATACTATTCACAATGTAATCACTACAGAAATGACACACTTAAATCTAATCTTCATTGTCAGCGTTTTCTCCATCACTTATTCAACCTTAACAATCAACACAAAGATGAGTCCAGATCTGCGGTGTTTCCAATTTCCCCAAGATAAACACTCTTACCATGTCCAAGTTCAGTCTATCATAGGTCATGGAATTAAGAGTTGAAAAGAAATGCCAGTAGTTTACCATTAGATAATCTTTACACCAATTATAGCACTTTTCACCAAAATGTATATAATTATCATCTTTTATTTATCTATTTGTTGTCTATCACCTCAAATCCATAAAAGCATAATTTTTGTGTTTTATCTCTTCTGTGTTCCTAGTACGTAAGTTACAGCTTGACACACAGTAGACTTTCATTAAATATTTATTGAATGAAAAAGGAAACACTGAGATTACTATCTGCAGGAACCTGTTCTATGTATTTTACATTTGTTAGATCATAAGTCGTCACAGAACTCGATGAGGTGACACTATTATTTTTTTTTCCTTTTTACAGATGGAATCAGAAAGTGACTGATCCAATAGAAAATATTTTTTACTGTGGAAAATATTTTTACCTTCTTGTTTTAACTTCACTTTTTTATCAAAATGGCACATGCTCAATAATTGGCATTATTTCCAGAAAATAAGTAGTGGACTCAGTTTAAACCCAGGTACTCTGGCTCCACAGTGTTCATTGCAGCTCTTTCTCTTAGTACAGCAGAGCCATGATGCTGGCAAAGAGAAATTCTAGATGAGTGCTCTGCTGTAGAACTTAAAAGCAACCAGGTCAGATTACAGCAAGTGGACAGGGACAATGCACTGGAACTGATAAATTACCTGACAGGTTTAATTTTGCAAAACATGATTCTGAGGCACTTTACAGGACCATTGAGAATTATGGGAAGAATGCCAAAGGAAACCATTGAAAATGATAAAAATGAGGCAATTATTAATTCCAGGAAAACAGTAAGTTGAATGAGAAAAAAATGGAATCATAGTATTCTCTTTGGCTCAGCAAAAAATAACATTTACCAAATCATGAGAATGAAAACAGTGAAGTCAGTTTTCATCAAAAAGAGTAATGGCTTGCTAATTGGAAGGAGGAGAAGAGAGGAAAAACCTACCTCTACCAAATAGAACATGTAATAGTAGAGTGTTGAGTTACACAAATGCAAAAGAAATTAGCTCCAGTAGGAAGAGCAAAACTTTGTTTTTGTTATATGTTATTTGGCATTGACTTGCCAATTAATGAGCCTGTGCCATTTTGGTAAAAAATGAAATTAAAACAAGAAGGTAAAAATATTTTCCATAGTATTGTCAAAGGTTCAAAACATGATAATGCTACAGTTGACAGACACATAACAGGCACTCATATACTAACTGATGAAGCTCTCTGTTGATATTTGTTTGGAAAATGACTTGATATTTTGTCTCAAATACTTTAAAAATTATCTTTGACCATGCATTTCTACTTATGGAAATTTGTCCAAAGAAAAAAAATTTAAAGATATGTACAAAGATAGCCAACTTTTTATTACAGCAAAAAGGAAAAAAAATAATATAACTATGAAATATTTGGGCCCTGTGTTGATTTTTTTTAAGTTGAAATGTAAAATTTGCATGTATTTATATGTACAAGTATGATAATTCATTACATATGTACAAGTGTAAGGATGAAATCAGGGTAATAAGTACTTCCATCTCCTCAAACATTAATTATTTTTCTGTGTTTGGAACTTTCATACTCTCAAAGTTATTTTGAAACACATCATAAGAATGTTGTAATCAGTAGTTACCGCACTGTGTAGAGAAAAACAGAACTGATTTCTCATCTCTCAGTGCTTTCTTTTCTTACAGTGTTTTGCATGCTTGATCTAACTTCTTTCCATCCCCTTTCCCTTCTGCCGTTTTCAGTTGCTAGTGATCACTGTATCATTCCATTCTTTTATGAGACAGACTTTTTAGTTTCCATGAATGAATAAGAAGAGTTATATTTTTAATCATGGTGTCTATGTTAAAAAAAACTGTTACAATTCTTAAAAATTACATTGTGATTATATTAACCTGGAAAGAAACATTAATATTGAGGAAACAGTAAAAACTGGTAGTAAAATAGAAAAATGGTCTCCTATTTTGCTCCTCTCCCAGAAAAGCATAAATGTTCATAAAAGTATTCTAAAATTTATGTAACTCAATAGTTATTGCTAGGTGATGGTGTTTTTGGTGATACACATCTATTTAATTTTGTTAATGTTTATATTATAACTTATATAATGTATATGACTTAACTTGTGAGATGATTTAATAGATCTTAATGTTTAAAAACTACTCCTAAAGCACAACATAACTTATTAAAGAGGTTGTCAAAAACAAAAATGTATTACCTATGAGAGCAGATACAAAAACTAAATCTCTTTGGTCTAAAATAATGAAAAATAACCTGTATTTGTAACATCATGAAAAATGTGGTATAAAATTGATGCAGAGTTGTTCACAAAATCCAAAACAAAATCACACACACAAAAAAATAGATCCAAATAAGTTCAGAAAATATAAGAGAAATTTTTCAAATAGTGGGAATTAATTCTAAGAAATTTTCTTTTGAAATATAACATCTAAAATGTCCGGTCCCATTAAAATATTAGGTTCTTTAAAACACTCATTCCACTTGGGAGGCATTTCTGACATGGCTATATTCAAGATTCTCATTTCTACATACTTGGAATCATGGCCAGTTTTTAAATATTTTGAATATTTGTCTTAACTCATGATATTGTATACTTTGCTTTCTAGGTACCAGCAAAGGTCAGACGTCTTACTCAACAACTACCCTGCCACCAACTCCACCATCCCATCCAGCCAGCCAACCACCATTGCCAGCATCTCACCCAGCACAGCCACCAGTCCCAAACCTACCTCCCAGAAATATTAAACCTTCCTTTGACCTCAAGTAAGCAAAAGATAATCTTGCCATTTCTTCACCAATGTCTTGCCATAGGTTTTCAAAGTATGCTTGGCTGAGAGCTAAGGGCTCCATGTTAAAATTTGGGGGTAGCATGGGTGGGCAATGGGCAGAAAGAAGGGCTTGCTGAGCAGGTAGCTCTCATACATCCATACCCTTTTAAGACTGAACAGCTCTTGTTTTTCTGTCTCTTGTTGAGTTTCCCCTTAAAAATTCATTTGAAGAAACTTTCTACTGCCTTTAGCAAGTTCTGAAGTTCTCTGAGATCAGCATACCACCACCATCTCCTCTAACACCACCATCTCAGCCACTATAATCATCACCACCATGAACGCCATCTTTTATGATAGCTTATGATGTCCTAGCTTTTTACACAAGTAATTTCTACAACTGTATCAAGTTGGTAGTATTATCAGTTCATAGATGAGGGCCAAGTAACTTCTCCAAGATTACATGATACTGCAGAGTAGAAATTTGAACCACTGTCAGTCTGAGGACAAAGTAAATGTATGTTTAAACCACTAAGATAATTAACTTCTATTAAAATTTTTAATGAGGTTTTTCTCATCTTTCAGAATTTTTGGTAGAGTGTTTAAAACCTAGAAAACTTTTCTTCTCTTCTACTTGCATTTAGACAGTTTAGAAGTGTTAATTCTATGGGTTGTTATGCCTGAGCTCTGTACCTGTAATTTACCAGTCACTGATTAAGGAAAAAAACAAGTGAAAGATTGGAACAGAATGAAATAGTGTTTGAAAAAAAGAAATTTAAAACATCAAAAGCAAGCACATCGTGTATAGTAAAACATGCTATATCTTTCCTTTTCTCTTCCAGAAAATTGTTTCATGTTATTTGCCACAAATAAGTAATGTCCCACATACACAGTTTTCCTTTACCTCAATATTCTTACCAGATTGATAGAATTTACAGTGAAATAATTTGCTATCCACAATCCATGTTATAGAAATGGCTAATAATAGTATCAGATTGAAAGTTTGTCTTTGATGTTTCATGATTCCAGTTGAGCCAGTATTAAAAACATATTTGTTATGGGTAGCCACTACTATTTTTCACCTTAGTGTGCTTTATAGAGGTTTAAAGATAGTAAGTAAAGATGTTGGAGCAGCATGGTAATTATTCTCTTATCTATGGCCTGCTTTGCATTTTTACTTTAACTGTACACCTGGGCATTTGTTTATGAATGCTAATTTAAATACGCTACTACCCACTGAGATCTAGCTAACAAATAAGAGTATAAGATATCTGCCTACTAACATGTAAAGGTTAAATAAACATTAGTTTAACAAAAATAACAGTTAACACATGTTCTTATATGTGTACACCTGACTTCTACATAAATTATTTTTCTTTCATATATATGTGTGTGTGTATATATATATATATATATATATATATATATATATAAAACCATGTTTATTTTTCCTCATTTTTTTTCTATTCACAAATTTAACCCATTATATTTCTATTTTAGTAACTCTGGATTTTATTGTGCGACCCTGTCGCAGCTTCTGGCTTCAGTAAGGTTTCTGAATGTAGTGTAATTCTAGTGAGGAATTTTAATAAGTGATGTGAGCATGATTTCCTGAAAATTAATAAGGCATGGACGCTGGTAATTATTTGATTGAAGAAATTAAGGAAAAAATGAGGAAGATCATTTAACACTATTCCTACTATTTTGGGAGTCCCTCAAACCACCCATATATTTTGGTAATTCACTGAAAAGGCTTGCAGAACTCAACCTACAGTAGCACTGAGATTTCTTTGCTGTAAAGAAGGGAAGACAGAGGCATCATCTGGAAGTATCCAAGCACAGGCTTCCAAAGTTCTCTCCTTGCAGGCCTGGGAGGGCCACAGTAAGAACACTCCTTTCTCCAGCTATGCAACTGCAATGCCCATCTCATAGTGCTTCCCAGGGAAGCCCACTAGAGTTGGTTCCCGAAGTTTCTACTTGGGGCTGATTACATAAGCACTTTCTACAAAGAAACCACCAAAAATAGCAGAATCCTAGAAAGAAAGCAGGTGTTCACTACAAGTCTCATTATTTCTGCAGTCTACATGCAGGAAAGCATTCTTCCCCATCAGACAACTCTTCAGATCAGTGTACAGGACTCTATAGAAACTGAGCTCCCATACATAAACTTTGGGAAAAACCTTGGTAGCAGACTGTCCTAAAATATAGCAAATCCAGGCCTGCTATATTAACTCTTCTCTGCAAACCTACTCCCTAGAATTCATCATGATAAGAAATAAGCTGTGGGAGGAAGAAAGATTTCAAAACGTCTTATAACATGGGCTACTATTTCTTTAGGATTCTGGTCTATTTTTCTGCTTTGAGAGAAATTCTGACAAATAAAGGAAAGTTGAGAAGGGCCTGCCAGTCAGCCAGGTTCAGATTCTTACCCATAATATTGTTTTCATCAGAGCTTAGCAAATCCACTAATAATAGTAAACTTGACCTTATTTTAATTTCTATCTTATTAAGGACTCCCATTAGAATGTGATTCATCTAAGAGTTGCCAACTTCTCAAAATGCAACCTCTTTGAAAAAAATGGAGAGAAGAAAGAGATTTAGATGTTCCTTTGCCTAGACAATCTGTATTTGGAGTCTCTGAAAGTAAATTATAATATGGAGAAAAGAGAAGATGTGAAAGCTAAAGACACCTATAAGATAATGTTCTTTTCAAAAGAAAAAATGTCCAAAATGTTAAGCTGTCATTAGGGAAGCTCAAGTAAATTCCACAATGAGGAAATATCTAAGTTTAGAAAAATCCCCCAAGGAAGGGGAAGCTAGATAAATACATAGAGAAAACGAAACCAAAATGGGTCTCAATATTCAGGCTCAAAAGCTTATAATTCACATGAAGGGGAAATTTATGGGTGAAGTAGAAATGTAGAAGGTATGGGTGATTCTGCGCCTCCTGTCACCCTTCCAAATGTCTGCATGAGTCCCCAAGTACTCACCCTGCCAACCTGTAAATGTTCCTCCCTTTCTTATCAAAGGTCACTCTCAAGTGAAGATTGGATAGTTTTTTGTTTGTTTGTTTCTGTTTTTTTAACATTCATTTGGCGAATATTTTTTTTTTTTTTTAGTCACTCCATTGTGGTTTTGGAATCAGAAACCACCAGTGGACAAAACAAGTAGCTCTCCCTTTATAAAGCACAGGGGAAGAGAAAAAGGAACAAAAATCATAAACAGGTAACAACAGATTACTGTAACAGGAAGTGTCAAGTGCTGTGGGAGAAAATGAAGCAGGGTTAGGTGGTAGAGTGTGAAAGGTGTTGGGGACAGCAACTGCAACTTTAAACGGAGAGGTGAAGCAGTTAGAGAAACAAAGATGCCAAGGAAGAAAGGGAGTCAGGCATGACACCGTCTGGGGAGAGACTCTTCAAGGCAGAGAGAGCAGCTAGAAAAAGGCCTAAGATGTTCAAGGACTAGGGAGGAGGTAACCACCTGGATTAGAGAGAGCGAGGGAAGGAGTATTAGGAAAAGAGTTAGCTCGTGTAGGGTCTTGGATAGAGATTGAGTGAAATAAAACCCTGAGGCATGAGCAGAGCAGTGAGTTTTCTGACCATGTTTTATCAATATCACCTTCACGGTTGTGCTGAGAAGAGACTGTGGGTGGGGAGATGTCAAAGCAGTGAAACCAATTAGACAAATACTACAGAAGCTCAGGCAAGATACGGAGGGGAGGTGACTCCAGTCAGGACAGCAGCAGTGGAGGCAGTGGTGAGAGATACCCAGACTCTGGATGTATTTTGAAGGTAAAAATAACAGAATTTAGGTTGGGGTATGAAAATAAAAATGGAGGATCAAAGGATTCCAAGGTTTTTGGCCTGAGCAACTGTAAGGATGAACTGAAATGGGAAGATAGGAGATCAAGGTTAGGTGAAGTTTAAGATCATCGCTCAAGATTCAAGTGGAAATATTGAGGAGGTAACTGGGTCTAACAAGTGGTGAGTTTCAGAGAAAGTCCTGGGTTAAAGATACAGATTTGAGAGGCCCCGGAACATCTTCTACACTTAGAGTCATGAGGTTGGTTAAGATAAGGAAAGAGGGTAAAGAGCAAAAACAAGAAGTAAGACCTTGGCACTCCAACTCCAGGAGGCCTGGGAAAAGAAAGGGCAAAGGAGAGAAAAAAGGAAGAACCAAAATAGTAGGTGCCCTGGAAGCCAAGTGAAGGGAGCACCTTGGGAGGAGGCTGCAAGAAAGCGTTTCAGAGGCTGCTGAAGGCCCAACAAGGGAGGGTGGGGAGGTGAAGGAATGAAATGGCAGGTGGGTTGGGCTTGCAAGTCTGACCAAGTAGCTTTAAAAGAGGAGGATATGGGAGGAACTGGAAAGAGCCCATAGAGATAGTTCTTTAAGGAGAAAAGAAAATCAAAGAATGGGACAATCGTTGGTAGGAGAACCTGAATCAAGAGCATTTTCTTAAATACAGAAATAGTAGCAATTTGGTATGCTGATTGGAAAGATTCAGTATAGAGGAAAACATGATAATGTGGTGGGGGAAGAATTCCTGGAATCAAAGACTAAAGTCACTTCAAACTAAGGAGGGATTGGCTTTCCCCAAAACCAAATGACTGATAAGGTTATAGTTCTCCCTGGGGTGTACAGTAGAATCTCTAACTGGGATCAAGGCAGGAATTGCAAGAGATAGGAGGCCTCTATCTATCCCCTGCAGCCTGTTCTGCCGCTTCTGAAGAAGAAACTCGTATTATGTCATCTGGGTTAGAATATCTTGAACTTGTAAAAGACTGAAGGCTGGTAAGAATCAGAAAATCATAAATAACTGAAAATTAAGTAGCTAAGGCCAAAGTTATATGTATTTTAACTTGTATCATTTCCCCACCTAGTGGTCAGAATACAGTTCATCTACATTTTCTGCTATTTTACTTTTTGGAGAACCGAAATGGATCCAAAGACCACGTTTATCATTATCCAGTTTCAAATCAGCATCTTTCAATGGGAACA